TTTGGGTTCGTCAGTCCGTCGTTCAAACCGAATATTGGTTGTTCGGTCGCTACAGTACTTGATGACTGCTTGGTTTCGAATTCCAAATACATTACGTTCAGAAGCGCTCATTGGGTCCTACATACCTTAATTTGCACTGTTTTGGAAATTCTTAGCTAAGACAATAATTCGAATAATTCTAATTATCATAGATATGTTTCGGACAATTTCATCCTCCACCACCTTCGACAGAATCTTATTCCCTCTGCCAGGTCAGTCTTTTGAGATCTGCTCTGACATCTCGAAAATCAGCTATGAGCAAGCCTTAGGACTGGTCACGGAAAATAGGTTACGGAGAGGATGGATTGTAGGATGACTCTGTTGCTATGATCCAAATAGTTTAGTACTAGTTAGTCAGTGAATTTCAATGTATAACTGGCGAAAATACAATCCCAATACATGTCCATCAGGTCCTCATGGAGTACATCAAGTAACATCTAATAATCTGAATTATCCTACCAAGTCTCTAATGTACAAAACCACTTTAAAACCATAGCCTAGTTAGAAGTAATTCTAAATGTTGAAATCACCAATCAATACCATCTTAGAAAATCTTAATTTTTTAGGGTTCTTCATGCCTCTTGAAAAAATGAACTGTTTAGAGCAGCCAAGACTATGGGTGATGTATAAAATAATCTACAAGGCAAAAGACACAGATTCCACCCACGCTGAAAAACATAACATCCTGAGGACTTATTATGGAAGATGAAATTTCTAAATCTCTGACGGATTCAAATATATAGAGTATGACTCTATCACCAACAATTTCAGCTCTATCATCATAAAACAGCCAGAGGTTTTTGTAGACATGTTCCCTATCACTGATATCACTGGTAGTTTCACAAGAGGCCGTCATACTTTAGTCTCTTCCGTTTGTAAAGTGTGATCCGTAATCTAAATCATCAATGATAAGATAAAACGCTTACTACCATATATACTCCTCTCGACCTTGCTTATTCACTAATCACAATTTTATTTTTATCATAAAACAATTTTCGTTTTGTTTACTCATTTTTCCAATCATCTAGTTACCGTTCGGTATGTTGTTAATGTCTCTGTTTTCCCTGTTCAATAGAATGTAATAACTATTTATTTAGTACACTGTTTTTTAGAAGCAGTTAAGGTTTATCAGGCCAAATAGTTCACTTGTTGTGACTTTGGCTAAGCTAAGACTCTGTGTTTGACACTCAGGGGGATAGTTTGGAATTGTATCTGTAGGAAATAACATCCCACACCATTGTCTTTTACTACATAATTAATATATTGGAGAAAGGAAACCATATTTCACCCAAACTCATAATAGCTAAGTTGTTATTAGAACAAGAAGGCCATTTATTCTCACTGACGACCCCAGCTCAGCAAATTAAAATATTTTTACCACAAAACCACTTTATACCTCTACACTACACGGAGAGAGCTTAACCATTGCCGATTGTCAAATGTTAACTGTAGTGTCTGTCATACACTGAAAAATAACACTTTTTAAACGGCCAAGACTTCTATTCACTGTCTTTAGTCGATCCCAACTACCAAAAATAACTTTCGCAACACATAAGATGCATTACTGCTGCTAGATAGCACTGGAGTAGCATACAGTTAGAAATTTAGAATGAGAACCAATCATATGAACTATTCATTTTCGAAAATCAGGTAAGATCATAAACATTGTAGTTGGCAACAAACTTAGTGAAAATAATGAATGTTCTGACATCAGATTTATGTTAAAAAGACTGACAAGTAAAATAGAAGAGTGAATAAGTCCTCAAGAACTATGTTTACCATCGTCATATAGACCTTTTAGCTCGATAGCAGGTCAACAGCATTAGAAAAGCTGAATTCAATTTTCACAAAACTAGTTTAAACGTTGCTAAATTAACAACCTTGTGAACTGGTGTGACTTTGCGCGTTTTCAAATATTGCACTAGGTAGCGTTGGCTTGTTTTTCATACTGATAAACAATTGTGTCAATTGTTTTTATAATTTTAAATGCCTATATTTAACTGCGAAACTTTGGCTCATGAGTGATAAGTAGTTTAATGACGTTGGAAACATTAAAATGAACGGGAAAGCAGTGGTTATAATCAGGTGTTTATACGTTAGTTACTTTTAATTAATGATTTTGAACTGTATTCAACCTTCACATTGTCTAATTCAAAGCCAATGATAAAATATACTCTTTCCATGTCTTTGTTTATGTATGGATATTTTCATTGTTGAGTATAATCAAGTATACTTAATTTTGCTGCCATGATACCAGTCATACTACTGTTTTTTTTAAGTACTGAGTAATTGTAAAAACAAAAGATAATTTAGAAAACTGCTGTAACAACAGTCGAGACGCTTCACCAAGTCCTTATCTATATTGAAATCAACTGACTAGTTAGCTATATTATAAAATAAAAGCTCCGTCATTAACATTCAAGCCTTAAGTTATTCAAATAGAAGATAGCTAGTTTTGTTGCATATCTTTTCTAAGGCATGATGAAAAAATTCTCAGGTTTCTAATAGACTTTCCTAGTAGTTTAGAAATTCAATCTAAAAATTGACACCAGTCTAACGAGTACTTACCCACTAGTCTCAATCAGGATATGAGTTTGCGTCACTATCCAAAACTTCCTTATCACTACTCACAAAATCTCTATGACCTTATAGCAAATAAGCTTTTGACAGCGATTTAACACTTGTTTTTGCACGCTTGATATCTGGTTTCGAATATTTAATAACCATTTCAGTCCGCAATCAGATTGATGATGGGTTCGTAGACCTGCGTTAATGTTTTCAGTACATAGTTGCATAGAGTTAGATTTTTCTACCAGGTATTCACTGAAGAGAGTAATGCCAGTTACTTCGCTCTAGTGTTCCAGACGTTGATTAATGGTTGGTAAGTACGGTTCACCACCTTGAGTTCCTACGATCACGCTTTTTAACTTTGTTAAAATGGTTTCACATATGATTGATCCTAGAGGCAGAAAAAATTGAGACATGTTAGCACTCAGTTCATTTAAGGTGCGAAACAACAACTTAAGATCACTTTACTTCCTGAAGAAAGGTGACGAAATAGGGTTAGGCAGTTTAATCACACTTTCATCAAAGAAATTAAAATGTCTAAATCTTGCTAGGACAAAATCTCTCAGTATTTTTTTCTTTATTTAACTGGCCTTTGGGTTATTCATTTTACTCATTGTCGACTAAAAGATATCTGTGGGGTTGATTATATGACAATGGAGCTTTTACGTTAACGAACTATAGTCTAAACCTTTATCGACCGATATGTATTGATATATCAGTCTTTTAGGCTAGTGTCATGCCTTATAGCGTATAAACTACGCCACGTATTTAAGTGAGGGAAAAAAAATCGATTTCGATGCTCTTTAAGCCTTAAACGCAACACAAGTTAACCACTGTTGATAAATTGAAGCGGGACGTGAGGTATAAAACATCACCGAACCGAGAGGAAAACAGTGTAATGATAGGAATCCTCATTGTATGCAAATAATTGTCACTTTTTAACGGAGGAACAGTGATTCGTTTAATAACAGCTAAGGGTTTTTACTAAACTCTTACTTTGATTTATAGACTCTTTTTAGCTTTCTTGCGCTATCTTTACCTTAAAATGAGTTGAAATTCATCATTAACATATATGTATTGTATGATATTCCCCCAGTTATTACTTCTTCCTCAATATTCACTTGAAAAAAGTCTGTTCTGTACGATTTGTCTTATTTTATGCTACTATTTGAAAAATACCGTCCTGAAAATCATACTTCATCTAACTTTCTGAAAATTGATCCTCTTACATATATTCACTTCTCAGCTTAGGACAAGTAGACGATATTTTCTTATTTAAAGGCGCTGACAAATCCCATCTTATAATCTCTTAGAGTAGTAATTCAGCCATGTTTGAGATGAGTTTTCATCCCTCTCAATGCATATTTTTGCACCATAAATGACCTTCACCATTTCTTAGTTTGATCGTAGGGTGTACAGTAGTTGAGTGCGTCAACCATATGTGGTGTGCAGTAGTCCGCTATGTATTACTTAACGGCTACGAAATACGGTTCATGGAAGCTAAAGACGTGTTGGCTTCTGTTTCATAACATTGGATTCTCTGAAGTATTGTTTGAGTATCATGAAACGACTGTGTGGTTAGGCATAAGATACTAGGGGAAGATGTAAAATCGGTCGATGAAGTAGTAAGTCTTCATTAACTGAGGTGGACGGGACGCGTACTTTTTATGATTAACTGCCTACTTCAGCAGTTGATGCTCACTGGAGTGAGAGGAGGTTGAAAGAAAGCTAATGGTGTTGCGAAACTAAGACATTGAGTCGGTTCTATGTGAAGTGCTACGATGTGTAACTTACAAAACCATTTTTACTCATCGATTAACATGTTTAAACAGTATTTGAGATGTTATCCTTATCCATTAGAATAGTAAAGATAATTCCGATTCAGTCAGATGAAAAACTCCAGAAATACAAAATTAGGTAGTTTAAAGAAGAGAAATAGTTCTAATGTTTTAGCAGCGATTAACTATTAAACCTAAAATTGATAAAATAACAAATATTTATATCGGACTTTTTTTAATACCTTATAGTTTTAAAATGTTATTTCTGTTTCTTATATATACACTGATAATATTCACCCGTGGTTATTAAACTAGGAGTTTCGGTCAGTGATAGACCTGAATAATTTTCAAAAAAGTATGCAATAGGGACATTTTCATCTTTGTTTTAAATAGTTAAATAATTTATGTGTTTTTCGTTTTTATTTATATTTCTAGTAGGATTTACTTTTTATTCTGATCAATGTGAAGGTGTAAGTTAAGCTACAAAGCTTCTTTCATCACCATCTTCTTAATCAGAATATTAATGTTTCTAAAGAGGTTTTCATTTCTATCACTTAATCTTTCAAAGGGAAATCTCCGTTGAAAATTAATTTGTTCTAAACAACTGGTCTATTCATGACCTCAATTATTCAACCGTCAACACAATCCTCGTCTTTTTTATCGTTATCATTTGAACCACATGTCCGAAGTAAAGTTTTACCATTATTGTCACCACAACAAATACACAGATCAAAGAATACTCGGCATGTTATCAATTGTAACCATTTATGCCACAAATCTTCAGCGGATGGGAACTTATTGAATAATATGACACATCCACATGTAGTTAAACATCATTTGTCTTGTAAACCAGAGGCTACTCCGACTAATATTCCAAAGACATTACTTTTATCTCCACCACTACCAATACGTCGTAGACCCTGTGATTCACTAACATCACATCGTTGTTCAAGAGGTTCAACTAGTCGATCATTATCTTCGGATCATTGTGAACGCAGTAAGTTATGTGAAACATAACAAATATTTATTAACAGGGGCAAAACGTTATTTTTATTTATAAATACTAATATTTTAATTTGTAGTGAGATAATGGTTATTTAACTTTTAACCAATAAAAACTACTAATTCAGTCAGTCAGGTACAACGTAGGACCAGGCACATATATGCATCGGTCCAGGTTGCCATACCGCATTAGCACAGCAAGATGAACACCGGATTCATAAAAGTAGTTAATTCAGGTGGTAATATATAAAAGAAACCTTGCAATAAGGATATAGTACAGGAAGAAAGAATTAGTTAGTAGAAAGAAAGATATGAAGCGATTTTTATCTCTTAGTTTAAGGGAAGACAGAGAATGTATACACCTACGCCATTGTGATCGATTCTGAGCCATGTCACCAAGAGTCTCCAACCATTGGTTACGATAGTCACGCGGACCCCAACCAAGCAATCTGCATCTACCAACATGGCTCAGACTAAAAGTTAGTGACTTCAAGCACTGATGCCACGTTTTGGTTTGGCCGCCCCCAATTCTCTTCCAACCATCTCTAACACCCGTTAGCATTGCACGTCGTGGTAATCGGTGTTCAGGCATACGTAACACGTGGCCCAACCATCTCAATCGATGAAGATTCACAACCTCATCAACTGATTTACCATCATTACCTAATACCCTGCGTCCAACTTCACTACTATTCTTACCCCGTGATCCCAGCAGATGCTAGGAATATTTCTAAGGCATCTGTGGTCAAATACTAGTAACTTACGAGTATCTTCTACTCTTAACGGCCGTGTTTTGCTGCCGTAAATTAAAACAGAACGGACTACCGCGCAGTATACTCGTCCTTTTATTGATAGACGGATATCTCGCCTTCGCCATAGGTCACGTAAGTTGGCAAAAGCCAGGCGAGCTTTTCGAATCCGTGCTGATTTCGTCACACACCAACCCATTAGGGCTGATCAGACTTCCAAGATAAGTGAAGTTGTCAACGCGTTCGACTACTTCACTCCCTATCCCTAGTTCAGGTGTTGACGCAGGCCAGTCCTGAAGCAACAACTTGCATTTACTAATTATAGATTATATATGTATAGATAGTATTTCTAATATTTCCCCCTACCCAAAGATGGAGATAACATAAAATTTAACATTCAAAGCTACCCTGCTTCACGTTATCAGGAGGAGATGGAAATAAGAAATAAGAATAATAATGGTATAAAAATGACGGTACCAAGAATAGTAAAAGATAGAGGTATAGAAATATTTAGAATATGAAAATACAAAATAATGACTGATCTGTGTGACTAACCGATTTTATGCCATATAAATTAATGTCATTTTAAGCTTCGCTTCAGTTACTTTAAACATTCTTGTTAGGCAGCTTGTACCTTCATGTATGGTTTGAACCTAACAGAGAAGAAACCGTTGCCGTCGCGAATAGAATTTAAGTAAAACAACATAGCACATTGTAGTAGGAACTGACTAGATGAAAGCAACAAGTGCCTCACTTATTCTCAACGATTGGCATCTATAACTTCAGTAACTGATTCCCAAATAGAAATTTCATTTGAATCAACTGTAATATGATTCGGAACTTTATATGAAGTGTAGAATGATTTTGTGATTTTTATAATTTAACAACAATAATCATATCTTAAAATTAAAAGATGACCTTGACCCGATCTATAATAATGTAGTATGTAACTCTCAACATAGACAAATTTAGTGAGTTTTACTTAAATCATTAATTATTTTTCTTATTCTGACATAACGGATTTTGTAACGACACTTAAATTCTTAATTGTTTTGAAATTGTTTCAATACAATAATTTGTGTAAACTGAAATTCACCGGATTATCATATTGTTACTTCGCTTCGATTGGGACTCATTCACTGAAATATATTTCATCTCAATATTAAGTTATAAAATTAACAAAACACCGTTAAACTACATCTATTAATTCTATCTATAATGCTTGAAAGCGTTCAGAATAGCGGAAATTTTACGGACGCTACTAAGATGTAGAGGGAAGGGATTATATATTTTTGTTTTTAGCAAAGCAACAATATTTAAAATACCGAACGGCATTACATTCTTTTTTGAAATTTTCCTAATTACAATCTACTTCGTACAGATTGCTGTCAATGTTTTTTCATCCTGATGAGTTTTCTTCCAATTCCTTCCGTAAGTAAAAGTGACAAATAAATGTGTACCTCGTGTGTTTTGTGTGCGTATGAAAGAGAAAATAAAGTGAAAGGAAATCACCCGATGTCAAAAAATTTGGCACACTGCCAAAATGTTCCCTATTGTTGTTTTCGCTTTATCGTTAGACTTCATGTCCTAAATTAAGTGGACCAATCAACTGTGACATAAATACTCTTTATTCATTGGCTAGTCTTGACTACTAGAAATTTTGTTGTTTTCATCTATCAATAAAGTAGGGAAACTAACAAGTCCTACAAAAAAATAGATAAATCAGCTGATGTAGTGTTTATTAAATTCGTTTTATTTTTTCTGCCTTCAAAAGGATTAATGGCATTTATTTGACTTTTTTAAGGATTGATTTTTCTACCTAGTATGATTAATCCATTGAATGAAGACGCTTAAAATAATCTGAAATATTTTGAATGGCTTAGGTGACAATGTTAACTTACGAGAAATGTATTAATCTCTGTGTCTCCGTAAATTCAAAGCATCATTGAACAAGAACATAAGTAAGTTAAAATGAAATCCCATAAAGTGACTTACCCTTCAAAGAAGTTTTTAGAAGTCACTCTACACTTTCTTGAAACACTTAAAACTATCGGTAATCAGCCGAAGACATAAATGCTTAATCGGGGTTAAAAATTAATATTAGGTATTGTGCTTGAAATGTTGACTGCTGTGTTATTAACTCCTGGTAGATTTCAGCTGAATTGCTTGTGGAACTTAAAAAACTATATAGCTGTTTGGTTTAGTGTTAGATTTATTTCTAATGATCCTGACTAAATTCCATTTGTAATGGTCTTTATAGAGCACTTGTCACTGGAGTCAATGATAAGCAACTTGTAATCCGACATAGATTTACATCAACCCGATTTTCCACACTCGATACTAATCCAGTGAGTGGAAATTAACAAAATTAAATGCATTCTAGTTAAAATAATACTAGCAAGCTCAGTAACCAATCCAACATCGGACGTAGAATTCCTAAAAAACAAATAAATAATAGGAATGAAAAGTGAAAGATACTATTAAATGTGAATATTCAGGGGAAAATGTAAAATGAAGGTATTTGAGCCACTGACAAAGATTGTAAATCATGTCACCTAAGGTCTCCAACCGTAGATTAGAGTCAATTCATAAACCTCCATTAAGAAGTCCATACTTCCCAACACTGCTCACAACGATGGTCAGTGACTCAGAGCTGATGTCATCCGTTGATCTGTCCTATTTTAGTATTTTTTTTTATCCTACTTACACATATGCTATATAGTAAAGTAATTCTAGGAAAATGGTGATTGGGATTGCCGAAAATACTCCCCCTTCAATTTAATCACCATAGGACCATTAATTTATCTATCGGTTTACTTTTTCGACCTAATACCTTCAATAATCTCGCGCGTAAAGTTATGGGCATCTTGAGTAAGTAAACCTATGTAGGTTAGGAAAATTTATCAGCTGAAGCACTTGAATGATGTAATATTCACACTATGACAGCGCGCATATATCCGTGTAAATTTGAAACGCTATATATTTCCCTATTAATATAGTCCTGTTACATCCTTTTTGTTTATCTAAGTTATTTTTATACATTTTTTATTTCTTAAGAGATTTGATAACATGAATTGGTGCACTGTTGTGCATCATTCTTTTTCACTGACATGCGTTTGAACCTTGGAAACTTAGTATATTTCAAGTTATACACTTTCCATCATCTGAGAGGAAACACGAATTACAATAGACAGCTTGAAATCAATTAGAAGATTTGGACTTGGCAAATGACCTGGCCTTTCCATCCTATACACATCGACAAATGCAGATGAAGACAACTAGTGTAGCATCAGCCTCTGTATCAGTAGGCCTCAACATACACAAGGGAAAAGCAAGATCCTCAAATGCAACGCGGAGAACATCAACCAAACGAATCACACTTGATAGAGAAGCTCTGGAAGAGGCGGAAAGTTCCAAGTACCTGGGTAGCATCGTCGATGAACATGTAGGATCTGATGCAGACCTAAAGGCAAGGGTCGGCACAGCGAGGGCCTCATTCCTACAATTGAAGAATATATGAAACTAAAAACAACTGTCAGCCAATAGCAAAGTGGGAATCTTCAATACGAACGTCAAGGCAGTTCTACTCTACGGAGCTGAAACTTTCAGAACTACAACAACCACCATCAAGAAGGTACAAGTATTTATAAATAGCTGTCTACGCAGGATACTCAACATCCATTGGCCGGATACCATCAATAACAGCCTTTTGTGGGAGAGAACAAACTAATTTCGATCTGAAGAGGAAATTAGAAAGAGATGTTGGAAGTGGATAGGATATACATTGAGGAAATCACCAAACTGCATCACGAGGCGAACGCTAACTTGAAATCGTGAAGGGAAACGAAAAAGAGAAAGACTAAGTAACATATTGCATCGAGAATCAGAAGGAGACATCAAAATGATAAGTAGTAGCTGGAAACTAACGGAAAGGATTGTCCAGGACAGAATTGGATGCAGAACGCTTGTTGGCGATCCTTACTTCTCGACGAAGGGTAACAGGCGTAAGGAAAAAAAGTAAGTAGACCAAGATAGCCTTGGAATCGGAACCAGAAGTACATGGTTTAACCCGCTACATGTACTTAATTTTATTGCTAAGTTTATCTTTTCGTCTCTGTTTTGTTGTTGCCTTTTGATTTTACCTCTAAAAAGCCTATAGTTTCATCAAAACAATAAAAATTACCCTGATAATAAATCCCATTTAATAATAATTTTAAGAAGCTAGGTTAATGGGCATTTTTTCTCC